TGGAAATAGCTAAAGCAATTTCTGAAAAAGCCAACTTGTTCACTCAATAAGTATTTATTAAACACCTACTGGATGCTGGTGTATGCCAGCCTCATTTCAGGGAACGGCATGGTAGACATGCAGACATCTGGCCATGACTGCGGCACTTGCTGGTGCTGATTCTGGGCATAAGAGCTCTAGGACCACTCTGCTTCTTGACAGCTGGAAGTCAGGTGTGCCGTGATGACTGGGGGACTGACAGCCACTCAGATTCTACAACATCGACACATAGGGCTCTAATTCTTTTGCAGAAATCCACAGCCACTACAGTCACTTCTAGTTGGATGTGTAGCATTCATAGAGGTTTGAAGAGCACTCAGATTTGTCTGTATCCATTCTCTTAGATGGAAGACACCCAAGACTTTTTAAAATAATATTCCTCCTTAGCATTGGCATGTATGCAAGTTTATTAACTTCATTAGGTCATTTCTCGTGGTTTTCAATTCACAAAAAATGGATGATAATGCCTAAAGAAAGCGTTATGTGTATATACTACTGATACTAAGTATAAAATAGATAACTAATGAGAACATAGTGTATAACACAGGGAACTCTACTTAATGCACTATGGTGACCAAATCAGGAAGGCAGTCCAAAAGGGAGGGGATATATGTATATGTAAAGCTGATTCATTTTGCTGTAGAGTAGAAACTTAATACAACATTGTAAAGCAACTACACTCCAATAAAAATTAATTTTTAAAAAAGGCAAATGTGCTAAATTTCTACAAAATATTTCTAACATATATCAACTTTGTATATATTATAAGATGTGGAATATAAGATATAGAACAAAATATTTCTGCTCTCTTACTGAAGTAGTTAATCCTCTAAAACTTCCCATAGTGTGGCTTACAATGTGCATTTCCTTACCACTAATTCTAATCCTTTGAAGAGAATAAACCTATGGGATTTATTCTTTTTATTAATTGCTAACTAAACCTGTTCTGGTAGGTATTTTCATCTCTATTTAACACCTGGTATGAAAGTATTATAACTGAAAGTGTACAGAGAGGTCATCTAAGAAGTTCCATTGGCTGCACAAAAGTCCCTTCTGCTATACCTCAGCCTGTGGTCACTCAATGTTTCCTTGAATATCTGTAGAGACGGGTGTCTTTTAACTTTAAAATTTTTTCTTATAGATTACTTTTAATGTCTTTATATACTACTGTTTTGTTTCTGCCCTCTGAGTTCCCACGATAAAACTAAACTCTCATATGATAAGACTGTTAGCTTCTGAAGCCCACTCCATGGGCAAACTTTCTGGTTAGCCTCCTTTGTGTTACCTGACAAAGGTCCATCTAGTCGAAGCTATGGTTTTTCCAGTAGTCATGTATGGATGTGGGAGTTGGACCATAAAAAAGGCTGAGCGCCGAAGAATTGATGCTTTTGAACTGTGGTGTTGGAGAAGACCCTGGAGGGTTCCTTGGAGTGCAAGGAGATCAAACCAGTCAATCCTAAAGGAAATCAGTCCTGAATATTCATTGGAAGGACTGATACTAAAGCTGAAGCTCTAATACTTTGGCCACTTTGGCCACATGCAAAGAACTGACTCATTAGCAAAGACCCTGATGCCGGGAAATGTTGAAGGCAGGAGGATAAGAGGACAAGAAAGGATGAGATGATTGGATGGGATCACAGTCTCGATGGACTTGAGTTTGAGCAAGTTCCAGCAGTTGGTGATGGACAGGGAAATCTGGTGTGCTGTAGTCCATGGGGTCACAGAGAGTCAGACACGACTGAGCGACTAAACTGAACTGCCTTACCCTTGCCCTTTGAAGGACAGCCATGCGCTGCAGACTTTGCAGAGAGTATTCTTGTATCTATAATTTTTATTCTGTAAAGCAAGGGTATTTTCTGTTTATTAAATCCTAGGCATTTGAATTAAGATTAACACAAGAAAAGAATAGCAGTTTTTATTGTGTGAATTCAGCCAGAATTATAGCTTATTTGTCCTTGGAGGGATATTTTATGGTGAGTAAAATTAGATCACCAATGAAAAAGAATACTTGCCTCCTGATACTGCTCAATTTCCAAATTTCCTGTTTATTTTCAGATTTAATAACATATTAAGCCCTTGCATGCTTAATCTCTCAGTTCTCTCTGACTCTTTGCAACCCTTTGGACTGTAGCCTGCCAAACTCCTCTGTCCTCTGGATTTTTCAGGCTAGAACACCAGAAATCAAAGTCGCTCAGTCGTGTCCCACTCTTTGCCACCCCATGGACTATATAGAGTCTAAGGGATTCTCTAAGCCAGAATACCAGAGTGGGTATCGTTTCCCTCCTCCAGGGGATCTTCCCAACTCAGGGATTGAACCCAGGGCTCCCACATTGCAGGCAGATTCTTTACCAACTGAGTCACAAAGGAAGCTCAAGAATAGTGGAGTGGGTAGCCTACCCCTTCTCCAGCGGATCAGCTGCCATTTCCTACTCCAGGGGAATCTTCCCAACCCAGGGATTGAATCTGTGTCTCCTACATTGCAGGCAGATTCTTTATCCACAAACTCATCGAGGAACTGCCAGGCTCCTCTCTCCATGGAATTCTCCAAGCAAGAATACTGGAGTGGATTGTCATTTCTTCCTCCAAAGGATCTTCCAGACCCAGGGTTCAAATCTGCTTGCATCTCTTGCATTGGCTGGCAGATTCTTTATTGTCTGAGACACCAGGGAAGCCCATTAAGCATTTATCTGATTTTAATTACTATGTAAGGTGCTTCCGTATGTTGTTTAGTTGCTAAGTTGTGTCTGACTCTTTGCAGTCCCATGGACGGTAAACCACCAGGCTTCTCTGTCTATGGGATTTCCCAGGCATGAAGGGTGGGTTGCCATTTCCTCCTCTAGGGGATCTTCCCAACCCAGGGATTGAACCCACGTATCCTGCCCTGGCGGGCAGATTCTTTACTGCTGAGCTGCCAGGGAAGCCTAAAGTCCTTCTGTATACCTTTATACTAGCCAAGAAACTCAATCCTCAGAGGAACCCTGAAGATGTATGGCAGGAAGAGGTCAGATTTACTCAAAACTTCAGCTCGGACACTGATAAAACATCATTTATGAAATCAGACTGGATGCTGAATGTTTTTATACATTTCATTTCACTTAATTCCCAATTCCAGAGATAATTATCTGTACTTTAAAGATAAGAAAACTGAGACTCAGAGTATGACTTTCCCACTCATGGCCAACAAAGAAAATCTAAAAATATAAACACCAGTCTCAAGTCCAGAGCTCTTCCTACTTCATGTAGCTTGCTAGTAGTGATGGCTGACAGCTTCTTTTTTTCTGCTACCTTGTAGTAGCTAGAATTTCTATAGTAGAATAATCACAGCTTTCTGCAACTTGCTGGTTTGATCAGGGCAACCTGTGGCCCTACAAAAATGGAAATCAAAGGTTGGGACACCAAAATTTACTAATTAGAAAGGCAAATATTTCATTATCTTGCTTATATGTGAAATTTGAAAACAAACAAATAAAAACAGGGTTATAAGGAGTTGGAGCCTAGAGGAAATGGGTGATGGTCGTCAAAGTATAGAAACTTCCAGTCATAAGATGAATAAGCTTCAGGGATCTGACCTACACCATGGTGACTATACTTAACAATACTGTATTGTATATTTGAAAGTTGATGAGAGAGTTACATCTTAAATGTTCCCACAACACATTCACACACTTAAACACACAAAGCTAAAGTAATGGATGTGTTAACTAAACATATTATGGTAATCATTTCATAACCTATACATCCATCAAACTATTACATTGTATACCTTAAATTTACCCAATGTAATTTGTCAACTATGTCTCAACAAACCTGGAAAAATATTATATATTTAAGAACATTTATTAGTGAAATTATTAGTTTTTAAAACCCTGTTCCAGTGTGTATGTGCATACGCAGCTATGACACAGTATGAATTTTATCCTATAATCACATTTTAAAAGGTTTAAAAGACACTTTGGAAGAATATGATGACTATGGGTTGGAGAGAGGAGAATAATGGAGACGGAGAATCAAATTAAGAGGCTATAGTAACAATCCAAGAGGAAATGAAGGACTAAAACAAGGAAATGGCCATGAGAATGGAAAAGACCGAGTCTGTGAATACACAGCAAGGAAACACTTAATTACCTTTAGATGCCAAAGGAAAGGGACAAGGCAAAGACAGACTGAGTCTTAGATTTCTGGCATGGACAGGTGACTGATAAACATCAGTTGAGGAAACAGATAAAAGTGAGGAGGGGTTTAGAGGTAAAAGCAATAAGTTCAGTTTAAATTATACTTCTCAAACATCTAAATGGAATATGCAGTTAAAGACTTCAAGATAAAGACATAGGTTAGGGAGTCAGAAGTCAACTATATTATGCAGAGCATATGTAGATTAAATAATAAGAGGTCACGTACAATGGACTGAAGAAAAAGAATCCACAAAGACAAGGTTGCTATCAAAAAAGCTGAAAAAGAACAAGAGACAGTGGTTTTAAGAAACCCAGGGAACGAAAATCAGTTTTCTGAGTGGATTAGTCATCACAGTTAAATATCCCCAAATGTCTATAACATAAGGACAGAAAAGCATTCATTGTCGCCACAATTAAGAGGCAACTGGCAGCTTTTGTCAGAACAATTGTAGGTAAGTATAAGAAATTAAAACACGGTTGTAAGATAAGGAAGTGAATATGTTATACACATGTGCATACAAATACACACGTACATTTGCATGTGCACGCACACACACACAACCTGTTATCTCAGTCCTGAGGAAATCAACTCTAATCCCATCTTGGTTAAAATGAAAACTGATATTCAAAAACATACTAGTTATAATAAATTAGGTTTCTAAATGAAGCAGTTTTCTCGATCAGAGTGATGATTGAATATTCAATTATAAGCAAAAAAAGTTTAATGTTTCCCTGCTTTTGCACTGATTTTGCTAACCTGCAACAATGACATTAGGCGAGTCTGGGGTTTGGAATCAAATTATGAGTATTAAATACCGTCTCTGCCAGAGTACTAATTATGATACCTTACCTCTCAACATCTTTTTCTGTAAAGTGGGGATTCTGTTGATAACACTAATACTTTGCTTTTGGAGTTGGTTGTTGATTGTGCCTGAGCAAAAGTCCTCAAGAAATGTTAGCTGTTTATTTTTCTGAGTTTTTTTGAGAACTAATTTCTAGAAAAAAAAATAAAAAGAGGGGCATTGATGCATTGCTACAATTTTGTTCACATAAAACTCTGCTGAAATAGAATTTGAATGAACGTATGCAATATTTTTGAGGGCTCTTTAAATATGATAAAAAGCCCAAGTTTTATGCATAGAAATTTAAAGTGATTCTTGAAATTTTTGAAGACTCTAGTTTTTAATCCCACATTCGATGGTTAGACATCTACTCTTGTGTTAAGTGCATCTTTAATTGAAAAGCAAATTGTCATGTTCCATAAGGTAACTAAGATACTTGATGTTTCCAAATGTGGTACACTGATCTTTAAAACTCTAAGCCTGCTCACTGAAATCAAAAAACTAAAGGTAGAATCATGCAAAAGATATCAATCCCATGCTTATTAAGATTATTTTCTTAAAATGAAAATACAACCAAAAAAACTTCTCAATTGATTATAATCAATACCAATAGGATGCTGAGAAAATAACTTTTTTAATTATAGAAATTAAAGGGAATAATTTAAAGAGCAGAGGGCAACTTTATGTTAAGTGATAAGCTTTGAATACACAAAGTACACAAATTGAACAGAAAACACAAATAGTTGCCTTTGGTAGTCACTGAGCCAAAGTTTCAATGAAACTGTAAATGTCAGTTATTCCGCAATTTCAACACATCATGATAGTTGATGATTCAACTAATAACTGATCCTAGGGAGAGGCTCTCAAACCACAGGCTTCATTGCATTCACTTGAGTGTATAAAATAGCTATGATATTCCAGGATCAGTCACTTCCATTTCTTATAACACCATCCCAGAGAAGGAACGGACTGGGAAGTTTGAGGTAAGAGAGATCTTAAGAATTATGGATCTTAATATATCAAGACATATTGTATACCTTTATATATGTTATCTAGAGAGATACATATATCCAGTAAACTGTCAAAATTATTGAGACTGTCATGCAATGGTTGCTTGAATCTGTAATCTTTAAGTGCTAAGACAATCATCTAGGGTATACCTATTTACAAGACTCTTTCTTAAAATCATCACCCAGCTATCGTAAGTAGATATTTTAGAATGACCATAAAGAAATTTTTATGGGGGCTGGAGAGCTGGCAGCATGCTGTTTCTGTTACAAGAGGCTCAGGCTCATCGATTTATGAGCTTAAGTCCGTAAATGAAGAGAACACGCAATACCACATATTCTCTAGATTATGAACATGTAACAATTTATTTATGGCCTCCTGTTTTTCTTTAAAATTTTCTGTATTTACATTCCTTTCTATAAAATATCATGTTGACTTTAATGTAAAAATTACTTGGATTTTCCTATAAATCCTTAAATGAAACTGAGGCTCCAGGAAGATGCATCTAATTTATTCAGAGACATTGGATGTGTACCCCAGCATACAGCTACATGCTACTATGGGTACTACAGTTTGAGAAATAGAAAAATAAAAGGTAGTAGTTGGTAATTACACTGAGTCCTGCCTATAAGACAAGATCTGAAAGAGTCTATAATGTGCTTTACCTGTTTGCTTCAGGTGGTTTTAAATCATCCTTGAATTCATATTTGTAATCCCCCTTTGGAACAGATTCACTTGAATTCTACTCTCTCCAAAAATATTCCCTTGATTTCTCTTTTTCTTTTCTATATTTGATATTGTTTAGTCACTAAGTTATGTCCAACTCTTCTGCGACACCATGGACTGTAACCTGCCAGGCTTTTCTGTCCAAATAACTCTCCAGGCAAGAATATTGGAGTGGGGAGCTATTCCTTTCTCCAGGGGATCTTCCAGACCCAGGAGCTGAACCCAAGTCTGTTGCTTTGCAGGCAAATTCTTTACCATCTGAGCCACGAGGGAAGCCCTAAATTGCTTACCCCCACACTAAGTTTCTGTTTAGGCCAAGGCTGTATTTCCTTCCAGCAGCTACTCTTATTAGCATGTACAGAGAAGTATTACTCTTAAAATATATGTGAATATTTGTTTTTTAAAAACTTGATGTAACATCAAAATTGCAAAACACCTTTGATTCTACCTAAAAAAAATAATGGTCTCCAAATAGGTTGATGCTCTAAGAGCTATTAGTAACATAATTTGTGCTACAACTAGACCTACTGAATTTGTGTTGACATTTGGTCTTTCTATTACTTTCTTTTACTTCTAGAATACATCTGAATAAAATGAAAGTTCTTCTTCTGCTCACAGCTGTCTTGGCAATAACCATTGGTTTCCCGGTGAGTAGTTCTGTATTTCAGAGTATTTATGGGTTGTTGTTGGTTTTCTTTTTGTTGCTGCTGTGGTTATTGTTCTAATTTGTGAACCCTAGGAAATGTTTCTACTTTAAGCATGTCTAATATCTGGCTTTTTTACATTATATTCTATGCAATTTTATAAAGCATATACTGTTTCATGTATAGTTTAATTCTACATAGTCTTGATGAAATGGTGAATTTTTTAGGTGTTTAGAATAAATAATAACATTTTTCAGAAAAATAATTTCTAGAATATTTTCTGGAAGCTCAAATCCTAAATTTAAACAAATGGCTACTGGGAAACAATACTGAGTAGTGGATAGTTAAACTATTTCTTTCATACATATGTATGTTTCTCAGTTTGTGTGTTTTATTATCATGAGTTGAATTAACTTCACTGTTTGGTCTTTAGGTCTCTCAAGACAAGGAAAGAGAAGAACAAAGTGTAAGTTACACTTTTGCTGTTTAACACGTGTGATTTTCACGTGAAATATTCATAACTGTGGTTAAAGATATTCCTTTATTCGAACTTCTCAAACTCTAGAGAAATCCTTAGAGAGTTTGGGTATTAGACGCAACAGAGATTCAGCCTTCAGGGATATGACCTCTGCTTGTTATAAAAAGAATTATCTCAGCATCTCACATAACAGTGGGGCCAAACTGAAACTTGAATCACTCTATAATGAATTGTATTATAATACTTTTTTACTAAAACAAGCCCAATAAATGTTGATACTTGCTCATCCCTCTATTCTGCTCTAACTCTACAAAACCCAGTCCATAGAAGATAATAAAAATGATAATATAAGTAAAAATTTGAGAATTAGGAAATTTGGGCCTGCTTTGATGACACCACCAGTGGAAAATTTTGGTCTAAACAGTTAATAAAAAAAAGTTTAAGAAAAAGAAAATAAAATTTTAAACAGGAAGCTCTTGCTTAGGGATTTGTTTATACTAAGATTAATCTTATTATGTCATGTATGGATGTGAGAGTTGGATCATAAAGAAAGCTGAGTGCTGAAAAATTGATGCTTTTGAACTGTGATGTTGGAGAAGACTCTTGAGAATCCCTTGGACTGCAAGGAGATGCAACCAGTCCATCCTAAAGGAGATGAGTCCTGGGTGTTCATTGGAAGGACTGATGCTGAAGCTGAAACTCCAATACTTTGGCCACCTCATGCGAAGAGCTGACTCATTTGAAAAGACCCAATACTGGGAAAGATTGAGGGCAGGAGGAGAACGGGACCACGGAGGATGAGACGGTTGGATGGCATCACCAACTCAATGGACATGAGTTTGGATAAACTCCGGGAGTTGGTGATGGACAGGGAGGCCTGGCATGCTGCGGTTCATGGGGTCGCAAAGAGTTGGACACAACTGAGCAACTGAACTGAACTGCATATTATTATCTTAAAGCAAGCATGATTGAAGCCAAAACTATAGAGAATTAAGGATACAGAAATTGATAGGAATATGGATGGACAGTAGAGAGGGAAAGAAGGAAGAAAGAAATGAAATAGAGGAGATTGTATCTTTGGGTAAAGACTTTATATAAAGGCAAAGAGAAAAAATTTTATCTCTCCTCCTCAACACCCTCCCTTTGATCTTACACTTACAGAAGCAATCATCAGGAAAATTATCAGGCTATGAGTAGAAAGGTACAAAAACATGGTTATCTATAAGTGATTTCCTACATTTTTCTAAAATTATGCAAATTAATCAAATCCCTGTTCATAGTAAACACAGAAAATGTAAATATCTCAGAGATTCTAAAGCCCCTACTTAAAAATGAAGACTGCATGTTCATTCAATTTCTTTCTCTCAACAGGTCAGTGAGAGTGATGAACTATCTTCACGGTTCTTTTTTCCTCCTTACCCATATCCACACAGCCATTATTCACGATTCTTCTGTCCATGGTGGACCTATTTTTATCCTCCCATTCCAGTACCTGCATCTGTCTCTGCAGCTACCCCTCTTAATGAGAAGTAAATAAGAAAGAGAAGTCCCAGTGCAATTTAAGATGAAATAGGTGGTAAGTATGCAGAATACAAAACATGTGGGATTTGAGGGGGTGTTTTTGTTGGTGGTCTCTGGCTGTGTGACAAGGAGGATCCTATTTCCTTGACTAGGGATCAAACCCACATTCCCTGCATTGGCAGCTCAGAGTCTTAATTGCTGGATAGCCAGGGAAGCTCCCAGTATGTGTCTTTTGTTTTGTTTTTGTTTCTTTTTGGAAGATAATTGCTTTACAATACTGTGCTGGTTTCTGCCATATACCAACATGAATCAGCCACAGGCATACCCATGTCCCTTCTTTCTTGAATCTCCCTCCCATCTCCCACCCCATTCACCCTCCAGGTGGTCACGCAGCATGGGACTGGGCTCTTTGTGTCACACAGAAAATTCCCACTGGCTATCTATTTTACATATGGTAATATGAATGGATACAGAAATCATGGTACGTATATACAATGGAATATTACTCAGCTTTCAAAAAGAATGCATTTGAGTAAGTCCTAATGAGGTAGATGAACCTAGAGTTCATCCTACAACCTAAAGCCTATTGTACAGAGTGAAGAAAGTCAGAAAGAGAAAGACAAATGATGTATATTAACACATGTGAATGGAATCTAGAAAGATGGTACAGATGAACCTATGTGCAAGACAGCAATGGAGATGCAGACATCAAGAACAGAGTTGTGGACACAATGTGGGAAAAGGAGAGTGGGATGAATTGAAGTAGCACGGAAACATACACATTACCCAGCATGTGTTTTCTTTACTTTCTGTAGACTGAAATATATTATTTCATGAAAAAAAAAAGTTGCAATGTTTTCACTTAGCCCCATTAAGTTACAATTTGTCTGTGTGTGTTTGTTAGTCCCTCAGTCATTTCCGACTCATTGCAATGCCATGGACCCTGCCAGTTTTCTCTATCCATGGAATTCTCCAGGCAAGAATCCTGGAGTGGGTTTCCAGTTCCTTCTCCAGGGGATCTGCCCAGCCCAGGATTCAAACCGGAGTCTCCCACAATGCAGGCAGATTCTTTACCATCTGAGCCATGGGGAAGCCCAAGTTATAACTTACTTCAATCTCCTTCTCTGGTAGAAAGTGTCAGTGTCTCTGCTCAGAGGTTGGGCTTCCTTGGTGGCTCAGTGGTAAAGAATTTACCTGCCAAACAGGAGACGTGGTTTTGATTCCTGGGTCAGAAAGATCCCCTGGAGAAGGAAATGGCAACCCACTCCAGTATTCATGCCTGGGAAATCCCATGGACACAAGAACCTGGTGGGCTATAGTCCTTGGGGTAGCCAAAAAGACACACACAACTTAGTGAATAAACAACAACGACTTACAGGTACAAATATGTGCCCTTGTACGATCCAACCTACACAGCAGTTTGAATCCCTCACTTGCTGTGATGCAATAGAAATAGTCTTTCTTATGAAAATATTTTTGAAAAATATTTTTAACAGTTTCTATTATCATCAACAATGGTGCATTTAAGGGCTGAATCAGAGCACCCAAAGAAGGTAAAATTTTAATCAAAGTGAAGATCCTAATTAATGAACTTGTGGATCTAAAGTCTAAAGTAGACTTCAGCCTATGCCTTAGAAAATCATCCATTGTTCTAATTAGTATCAAAACTCACTTAACTTTTAATTATCACAATGAAATAAAATTCTAAAACTGAATGCTCCCCCTGAAATAAAGTTCCCTTTTATCTCATCATCTCAAAAACAAATTGATAGTTTGTTAATTACCAATGAATTGAGGCAACGTAAATGGTACTAAAGATTACATTAGGACGAGGCGGGGGGTGGGCGGGGAGGAGAATCTTTTATCTAATGCCAACCACTAAAAGTCTCTGCTTTCTTTCTTTCATCTACTCTGTCTTCTTGAACAGAAAGTTTCCCAGCCCTTGAACTAGATATACTTTTGAGCCAATATTTGTAATTAAAAAGCAAAAAGACTTATACATTCACAAGCACATGACTCACTGAGTTTAATAACTTTTTGTCTGTGATTTATTTCAGGTCACTGCAAAATTGAACGTGAGCCACTTTCTTGAAGAATCAATATTCCTGTTAATCAAAGAAAAATAAATGTGATTGAAGAAGCATACAAGATCATGGTTTCCCATCATTTTCTAAATCTGCATTGCCTGTAGGAATGCAAAATAAATTTTAACAGATTAATTTAATATACACTTCCTGATAATAACTATTCCAAGGAAAGTACTGGAGTGGAGGTAACCAGAATTCACTAGCCCTGGAATTACCTTGACTGAAAGCCTACTCAGTAGCTTATGTTATTGTAGCATAAGGGAATTAGAGATGAGGTTTGGAAAAAGAACAAGACCCTGAGACCGGCACTTTACAGGAACAGATCACCTTTAATGAGGCGAGAAGGGGCAGCAGTCAGATTAGAGAGCTGCTGAGCTAAGTCAAGAAGAGAGTAGGTATATATATATGCAGAGATACATCGTTTTGAGGGGGTCTGTTTTTCCTCATGATTATTTTTGATTAGTTAGATTTCAACAACTGGGGTAAGGAATTCCTGAGACTGCCAGAGACTGGGATTAGCTGGGAGCTGAATGTAATCAATCTTAATGTCCATTCCTTTCTTGGGGGAGAAAGTTCTTTATTCTGTATAGAATGATGGGGAGAAGAACCTGGAGGGGAGTTTTAACCCCAGGCTATTTTGAGCCGTGTAGCTTTCCTTCAGTTATGTAGTTCTACTGCTTGTATTAATGAGACTAGATGATTTAATTTACTTCAAAAACACATTTTGATTAATTGAGTCTGAATTACTCAATTACTCATTCTAGTCTGAAATGTATATGCTGTAGCATATTAAGCTTGATATGTTGGTAAAGGATAGCAAAAACAACCAAATACTGTCTCTAATTAAAAAAAAAAAGGGTAATGGGTGGGTAATCCTAAAAGTAGCATTTATATCAAGCATATAGGTCAGAGTTCTTTTTCAAATCATTCTATCACCAAATCTCCACATAATCTCATTTCAGTAATCACATTTTACATGGGGGGAAATTGAATATCATGAAAGTCCAATGTCCTTCACAATCATAGCATGTGGCAGAAAAGAAGTAAAAACCACTATCCAAATCTTGTGCTTTGTTTTAGCAGCATATTTCATCAAATAAATTTTGTGTCCGGGACTCCACGATGACAGTGCCAAAGACTAGTTAAGCCCCTTTGTTTTCGCTTGATTTCAGGAAGAAATATCAAATTCATGTTAATAAGGGTAACTTCCCCCAGGCTCTCCTATGCTAATAACTCCAGTGCCAAACTGCCTCTGGAATTAGCTTTAAAAATGTATAATGACCTTTATTCTGTCTTGCTCAAATGCCTTGGAAGATTTCTTATTGCCTACAATAGGATTGCAAGGGAATTAGCCTACAGGGGGAATTCAGAGAGACCTCTGCAAGTAGAAACACAAGGATCAGGAAGAAGCACTACTGAATTAATGTCAGTGGTTTTGAATTTTGAAGAGCCAAGAACTGGAGTTACAGAATGGCTTCTTAACACTGACAATACTTAGAATATTAGCCAGGGAGAAGTCTGGCTCCAAATTATAATATTTTTTTAACGTATACTATTATCCATACAACTGAGTGTCTGTCATCTGTGCATAGTGAAGTGAAAAGTCAAAGTGTTAGTGTCTGTGTGTCTGACTCCTTGCAACCCCATGGACTGCAGCCCACCAGGTTCCTCTGTCCATGGAATTCTCCAGGCAAGGATATTGGAGTGGGGAGCCGTTCCCTTCTGCAGGGGAGCTTCCTGACCCAGGAATCGAACTCCAGTCTCCTTCATTGCAGGCTGATTCTTTAGTGCCTGAGCCACCAGGGAAGCCCTCCATGCATTTACACACACATGTGTGTGTGCAACACAACATGCTTAGGTAAGCAAACCCCACTCCAACACAGATTAGGATACAATGAAGGCCATTGCAAAGATCTGTGTGTTTTTCCTCACTGTAAATTTTGCTTATAATTCTTACTTCTTTTCTGCATATGTACTTTTACCATATGCAAGAATTATTAAAAAAGACACATGCTAGTTTTGCTATTTGGAGTTTATAAAAATGTGATTGTACAGTTTGTAGTCTTCTGAAATGTTGTCTACATTTACTATGCATATAAGGCATTCAAAATACTGTATTGTTAGTTTTGCTGTTTTGAGCTTTATAAAAATGGTATCATACTCAAAAGAAAAAGAAGAAGAAGAAGTCTGTTTCCTCCACAGGGCATTCAAGGCCTCTGCATACTAACCTCCAGCTTCTTTTCAAATCCCTCCAGCCACCCACCCCCAGCCTCCCTTGCATTCTCCACTGGCAAACTAGTCCATCATCATTTCCCACCACTGGATGTCACACACAACTGCGCCTTTGCTTATTTTACTCTCTCTTCATGGAATATCCTTTCCTCTGTTTCACTGTTTAAATCCAATCTATCCCTCAAGGTCCAAATCCAATATTATGACCTGCCTGAAAAATTTTCTCCTATTTCTCCAAACAGAATGCATCACATACCATTCGACTCTCTTTCACTGCATTTTCCCCACTCTTTTTATGAATCTCATTATAATTTACCCTCTAATAAAATAAATAATTTGTATTTCTGTTTTCTTCTTGAAGAATTGTAAGTTCCTATGAGGTAAAGGTAGATACACCCAACTCCTCAGGGTAACATGATTGGAGATTCATTCCTTGTGGACTGAAACTCCAAGATGGGAATAGCAGGACAATTAAGAAGGAGGCTGGGCCAGCCCTGACCACACATTTCTCATTCTCCAAGTCAGGAGACCTCCCTGGCCACAAATGTGCAGAAAGTATCCTTGGAGGTCAAATGGGGAGTGATGCCAAGAAATGTTCTACCTATAAGCCTTTTCAGTAGAATCCATCTTGGCTAAGAGATGTGTGTACACATATATGAGGATCCTGAGATATATCAAATATAGACAGTGAACCAGGCAAATCAAAATGATTGACCAAGGGAAACTCAGAAGAAGTGTTCCATAAAAGTAATTCAAACTGCAATGAGGGCACGACTCAGCAACTCTCTCACTCTCTGAGTCCACCAATGTGTCTCTCCACTGGTACTGTCCTCTTTTTCCTCTTAATAATACTTTTCACTTGCTTCACTACTTTGCGTCTTTATGGAAATTCTTTTCTGCAAAGCTAAAGTGCCAGGGCCCTTGTCTCTGACCTTGTCACTGTCTAGTGGCTAAGATTTGGTGCTTTCACTGTTGTGACCTGGCCTCAGTCTCTGGCTAGGAACCCAAGCCCCACTGCAAGCCAATGCCAGCCAAGGCCACCCAAGATCACCTGGAGTATCACAAGAGTATAACTATTCCCCTAGATAATGAAAGTAGTGTGTGCACACACACACGCAATGTCTTAAAGCATTTAATATTTCACCAACTATGGGAAAAATCAAGCTCAGAGACTTTCAGTTTATCAAGTATAATTTCTCTTGCATACAAAGGTAAGTGCATATAGCAAAGGCTTGTGACCTTTATTGAGGAACAGTTTGTCCTAATCATCAGTTCCCATAAATCCCATCATGAACATTCTAGAAACAAAACCCCTGAAAGAAAAAAAGGTAGCATGTGGCAACGAAAAGAAACTTCCCTGCAGTATGTGACAGAAGTCATCCAGCAAGAATCTACCTACACAATAAGCCTTTCATTGTGTCACAATGGCAGTCTTTGTCCCATAGGTAATTTATCAGGAAATCAGAATTCTCACTGAGTAAAGATTACATCTCTTCAACCCAAGTTTAAGTCATCACTGGACCCTTAGCATCAGTGCGGGAAATTCTGCCATGACCATAAGCTGGCTATAGATCAAGGCCAGCCTAATGAGCCTCTTGGCATGGCTTGAGTAGGGAAACTGCTGTCTCCGTCAACCATTTTCAGGGATCAGAAGTTCCCTCAAACATTAAACATTCCTTCTTTGGTACTAAAATTAGTGATCCCAGTTAAAACTATATGAGTGACAGCCAGAGGACCACACTGTCCGAAATATAATTTGATAACTTAATTTTATAGGAGTTGTTTCCCAACCTTACAGCTGACAAATTGAATGCCATTGAATGACTGATGAAAGGCAGTCATGAGAAAGCAAGATGGAGGGGCATAAAGAAGGTAGGGATCCAGAGCCCTGAAGAGTAGCCAAAGAAAAACTTTGGCGGCTCTGAAGGTTAGGAGGGCAGCTCTGCAAATAATTTATGATCTTCCCTCTTCCTTTTCAGTCTTTGTTATATTTCTTAACTCTTGGAATAGGATTTTTACTTTATCCAGCTTAAATTACATCACTGTAAAATGGCAACCCACTCCAGTGTTCTTGCCTGGAAAATCCCATGGACTGAGGAGCTACAGTCCATGGGGTCACAAAGAGTCAGACACGACTGAGCGACTTCACTTTCACTAAACTTCTGAGGAAAAAAGAAAACATCATATGTTTTATCTACTGTATTTGTGAGGCAAACATATTCTATTAAAGTGAATCAATTATTTTCCCAGTGTATATGGAAAACATCATTTTTGGTCCTGACATTTTTGATTATTGTAGTTGGTGGGGTGGTTTCCCAATAAACCTGTCAATCAAACCTTCATTTTCTTTTGTAATCCAATGTTGGCTAATAAAGATAGGACCCACTGAAGCACTGTTTACCAAAGTGTGTTTCTTGAAACATTAATATCACTAGGTGGCACCTCAAATAAATATTTATCCTCAAAATATCTCTTATAAATTTACAGTATATATATACATGGTAACATTCTTGAAAATGCCTGTTTAAAAAAATCATTTTGCTTCACTATGTTTTCCAAACTGTATTGACCATAGACCAATCCCCTAAACTCATCTAAAACATTTGGCAAAATCAGAACCTAGACAACGAAAACCTGAGCTTAATGTTCTTGCAAACGCTTAACATTCTGATTCCGAGCCAAGCGAAGAGCGTAGGGGTTCAAACGGCTAAGAGGTGCCCGCCCAGCTCGCGGCCCCGCGGGAGTCCTCCAGGCTCCCGGCGTGCATCGCGGCGATCCCGGCGTGCATCGCGGCGCGCGGAGCCGGCTCCCGGGCGTTCGGCGTGGAGCCGTGAGCGGCGGCGAGGCGGTCGGGAGTTAGGCGTGTGCTGGTGACCCGAGGAGAAGAGCCGGAGGCGATATGGAAGTGAAGGATGCCAATGCTGCGCTGCTCAGTAACTATGAGGTGTTCCAGTTACTAACTGATTTGAAAGAGCAGCGTAAAGAAAGTGGAAAGAATAAACATAGTTCTGGGCAACAGAACTTGAATACTATCACATATGAAACATTAAAATACATATCAAAAACACCATGCAGGCACCAGAGTCCTGAGATTGTGAGAGAATTTCTGACAGCAATGAAAAACCACAAGTTGACCAAAGCTGAAAAGCTTCAGCTGCTGAATCACAGGCCTGTGACTGCTGTTGAGATCCAGCTGATGGTGGAGGAGAGTGAGGAACGGCTGACAGAGGAGCAGATCGAAGCTCTGCTCCACACCGTCACAAGCATCCTCCCCGCGGGGCCAGAGGCCGAGCAGCAGCAGAATACCAGTGACGACGTGGCGATGGATGAGGAGGACCCCGCGTAGAAGAGCACAGCTGGCGAGTGTCTCCTGAAGTTGAAGGCCCAGCAGCCGTTTCCCAGACGTTCAGAGGATTGTTTATTTGATTTTACCTTCTGTCCCAACAGGCCTCATTTCCCGGTTAGGTGGGTAAACCACAAAAATAATCTTAAAAGAAATCCTTGTGCTTCTGGGAGAACAAACATGGTGGACTGGCTGAGATGGTCAGGAAGAGAGCTGAAGAGAGGAGGAGTGAGTCAAAAAGGACAGTGACTGTGGAACTCTCAGCGGTAAAAATATTTCTTCTGTGGCCTTTGCCATGGTTGTGGGAAGGTCTCTGTACACAGCTGGTAAAATACTTGCCTTGGCTTTAATGGGCTGTATCCTAATTAATTTCATCTGCTTCCCTTGGAGCTTCCCAAGCAGGGATGCAGAGCACTGCTGGAATGAGAGCTGACTTAGGAGAATCCTGTTAGATGGCTGACAACTCATGAAGCAGCAAATAGTTGCTCTAAGTTAAAATGAGCCACTGAGCTTGGCTCACCTTAGAGGAATCTTTTCCTTAATAACAATAGACATAGGAAAAGATTGGCCTAGGAACGTGGTGGTCCAGTGGCTTAAGATTCCACACTCCCAATGTATGGGACCCAGGTTCCATCCCTGGTCAGGGAACTAGATCCCACATGCTGCAACTCAGAAGAAAAAAAAAAAGATTCCTGCATGCTACAGTGAAGATTGAAGATCCCGTGTCCAAATAAATATTTTTAAAAAAATAACTAAATAAAAGAATGGCCTGGACAACTCTTCATCAGGTCTAAAGGCCCCTCTCTTCTACTGGCATGGCCTTTGTTTAGCAGTTTCACTAGTTAGTCTTCAATGTTAGGACACCAGCTCTCTGCAGTTGGAAAGAGGCACTCCAGTGTTCTTGCCTGGAGAATCCCAGGGACAGAGGAGCCTGGTGGGCTGCCGTCTGTGGGGTTGCACAGAGTTGGACACGGCTGAAACGCCTTAGCAGCAGTGGCAGGCTGAATGGCCGTGTCACCTGCCTTTCTGAACACCTTCAGTGTGTTCTGCCTTATTCCCTTCTGAACACCTTCTGCCTTGTGACAGGTGCAGCCTGTTGCAACTAGGTGAGCTTCATTTGCACAGGGGGCAAATGGTTTGCATCTTTTAAAAAGGGCAGTTCTCTGGTGGTCCAGGGGTTAAGATTCAGTGCTTTCATTGCAGGGGGTGTGGGTTTCATCTGTAGTAAGGACTAAGATCCCATGTGCTGCAAGCTGTGGCACCCCCCCCCCAAAAAAAAGAAACCCTAAATAAAGAGGGCACAATTTCGTAGCTCTTTTTGTGGCTGGAGTATGAAGAACTAGAGGCCGATTAATAATAAGAATTTGAATTTGTTGACTATTGTGTCAGTTTTTTAATTTAAAATATTAGAATAATTACCATGCAAGGAACTTCTTAATATTCAAGCTTTGGAGAGTTTAGTAGCCCCAGACGTATGATTGCCTTAGATCTTAGAAGTATTGTTAAAAATTAATTCCCTGTATTCACTCTACTCTCTTATTTCGAGAAGAAAATGCCCATAGACATTTTTCAAATTCATACTCATTTTGTTGTAAGATCACATATTTTCAATGCTTCTGTTAATTGGATTACTTCCCACCTCTTACAATTCCCAGATTATTTCAGCCCCCACAGTAGGCAGTTATGTTTACCTTAACCTTATCATCTAAGGATCAGTTGAGATCTACTTACAGGCAACATTGAAATTAACAGGACATTTATTTTTAAATCTCTCTTGAGTATCAGGAATTTTACCAGGAGCTGTTGTTTTGTCAAGGCATACAGGTGCTTATGTCTTTGTTTCATTTTGACCTTGAGTGCATTTGGTACTTTTTCTTCATGGATTTAGGGTTTAATTAGTTAGTAAATGGTTTCCAGGTGACTACCGACTTACACTATTTTAGAAAATCTAAGAAGAGTTTATTTTACCATGGGTAGTAAGAGATAAAATGAAATCTGACTTAAAAACTAATATATACTTATTAATTTTGGGTTTTTTGCTTAAGTTGAATCTATTTAGATCTAAATTTTGTGTTGAATTTCAGTAAAATTTTCAGTTTCTTTATTTGGGACCTGAATTTTGCCTCTGATTAAGTCAAACAGGATCTAGAAGATTGAACCTTTATAAGAAATATGGACTGTGTAATATCCCTGTTGCATTAATAATCCACATTTTAGAAATAAAAATTTACACAAGGAACTTAACCAGTATCATCTGGGAAGGAGAAAAAAAAAAAAAAAAAACATTTGGCAAAATCAGTGTGGCCCTGAACACATTATGCCATCTTAAAATGTAGTCAGCTATAGAGACACTGGTGGCCATATTCATGTCGAGTTTATACACTAATTACTGAAAAAAGCTTTCATGGAAAAGTCAACAAAGAGCTATATTCAACTCCAGTATTATGCTACTTCCTTTGGGGAGAGGACTTGTGACTCATGTCCCCCATATAATCTTCCAAATTTTATCTATTCACTAAAAAACTAAGTATTATTTATGTGTCAATTGTTCTGCTAAGTGCTAGGAATTTGAACAATATTATTTATTTTTCAGCTTTAAGGATCTTAGTCTACTGAGAGGAAACTAAATGTGTATACAATTTCAATAAATATAATGAATGTTCCAATAATATATTCATATACAGGGTTTTTTTCTGTTGTTGTTGTTGTTTTGTTTTTAAGCAAAGAAAAAATTAGTTCTGCCTACACAAATTTGGTGCGGTCCTACTGGTGACTTTGAGCTGAACCTGAAAGTATAAATAGGTATTGACAGTTAGATAAACATAAATTAGACGTTCAACAGATGCTTATCAGATGGATAAATTCAATACTCAAAGGGGTATTTTTAATGACATTTAGCTTCAACCAGCAAAGTAAAAAAGAAGGGGATAAATGGAAATAAAATCATTTAGAAACTATTTCTAATTATACAAATGAGTTTTTAAAGTTCTCTTAGTCTTAGAAATAACCTATACCTGAGAAACAAAGGGGAAAGAAATAAATATGCTAGCAATATTCTTGTTGTTCAGTGTATGACATTTCTGTTATAAAAATGTAGAGAACAAATTTCACCCGATAAGTTATTTTCTTATATAAATGGCTAAGATATCCAAGAGATAGTATTTTCCCAGATATGTATGTCAATTTATTGACACCCAAGCAGTGTTGAAACTTCTGGTCAAAGTTGGGTCAAATCAAGGTAGCTGAAGGCAGACACAAAACAAGGTGAAAAGTGAAGCATTGACAACTGAAGTGCCCCTCCATCCCAGAGCCTAAGAAAGCCTCCAAGTTCCCTTAACAGTTCAAGACTTTGGTTCTGGAATGAAGAAGGAGAAAAAAAAAATGAAGAAGAACTTAGGGCCACACTGAAATCCAGCTGCCCTCACTTCAAACAAGAGCTCAGCTAGAGCCCAGCTTCCCCAGCAGTTGGGGGAAGTCTGTTCTAAGGCTCTCACAAAAAAACTAATCTCAGAAAAATGCATCACTCAACTACATATACTAGCTCTTCAGTGAAATAAATTAGAATTCCAGATAATATGCTTGTCTACTTTAGAAGTTCTTCATGACAAGGTTCTGTCTTCATCAAGAAGAAAGTAGTGATTTTCAAACTTTCACCTGTACCAAAATTATTTAGGTGCTTATTAACTGTGTAGATTTCCAGGAACGTATCTCCACTTAAAAATTCTGACTCAGTAGTATGGAGTGAGGCCAGAATTTACAACTTAAACAGCCCACATATTTAATCATTCCTGCAACATTTGAGTGTCTCATGTGCACCAGAAAAAGGTATATGCATTGGGGAAATTATCTTCTAGTGGAAGAAGACAGAGAATAGTAAATGAACATATGTAAATTTTTAAAATCATTTCTTGTTGTGTTAAGTTATGAAGAAAAGAAAAACTTAAATGATAGGGTGATGAAGAAAAGGAAATGACTATTCAGAAAAAGTACCAAGGAAAGTGTCTCTGAGAAAAAGACATTCAAACTGAAACCTGAATAATATAAGGGAGATACTAATAAGAAACATTAGGGTAAGAATGTTTAAGAGACTACAAACAAAAGTGAAAAGTTCCTGATTTTCCCAGAAATCCCAGAATTTGGCCCTTTCTAGGAATAGAGAAGTTGTTGAAACTGGCATATATTGAAAGAAAGATTGGTAGAAGATAAGGTAAGAGGACTGAAGAAAGAGTAATAGGCTCTAATAAAAGACTTGGAACTTATTCTAAGTGCTATAGGAAGCCATAGAAAGCTTTTCAACAGGAGAATAATCATGTCAGATATATGTTCAAATGTCACATTTTTATAGCTTTATGAAGAATAATCTTAAGATGATAAGACTGAAAGTAGTGAGAGCAGACAGACAGTAAACAGGATAGTCAAGTGTGTGATGCCAGTAGCTGGGTCTCATTAGGTGAGACTAGAAAATAGTGGTGGATTCAGGGCTTATAATTCTTCTAATGGACTATTGGGAAGGAGGAGGGTGGGACAAAAGATGACCCATAGGATTTTCTCCTGAACCATGGGGAGTATCATAGGACCATTTATTAAAAAGGAAAAGACCAGTGGAAGACTTGGTTGAGACAGGGACAGGTTTGCCGATCAAATATTAGGTTTTGTTCATGACAAATTTGGGGCATCTAATTCAAATACAATTATAAAAGCTATTGGATACTTATATCTGTGGTTCAGTGAAGTCAACAGCATGGAGATGATTTATTAAAATGGGGTAGGTCAACTAGAATGATACTAAGACAGAGACTGGAGGGAAGGTAGAGGAGGGATGAACTCAGGAAGAATCTTTAAAAGTTTTCTCAACTTTAGAGTTTAAAGAAAATAAAAGGAACTAAGAGAGAAATTAAGGGCAACCAGGGATTTGAGAGGAAAAAACAAAAAAAAATTAGTCATTAAAGTCAGAATCACCGTCACCGTTTCCAAAGGCTGCTAAGACTAAGCAGAGATTCTAAATGTCAGCAATGGGTTTGGCCACACGTAGGTCACAATTGACCTGGCTATCTGTTTTGAAAGTCCTGAAAGGAGTAAAAGACCTGTTGGAGTAAATGAAAGACAAAATTACTGAGAGCCCTAAAACCATACTGGATTATTAACACTTTACAGAAATGAAAAGTGAGAAGTTTTTTGCTTACCCCTTGTATTTTGTAATCTGTGAAAATCTGAAAACCCAGAAATCCTGAAATCAGAAAAGTTACTAAAGCATGAAGTTATGTGTGCACTAGTACTAAAGCCATAATGACATCCCATTTCGGACGTCATATAACCTCAAACGTCTCTTCACAGCCTTCCTATCAATGTCCAGCTGAAAACAAGTTCTCTTTAGATATTCTTTGTAAGTAGAGATCATGACTATCTACTGTACTCCCCAAAGTGCCTTATTTTTTAATGGTCTACAGGAGAGCAAGATCATATTACATTTTGCTAGTGTTATAACTATGGACAGAGGCTTATAATTTGTACAGGAGGCAGAGACCAAAATCATCCCAAAGAAAAAGAAATGCAAGAAGGCACAGTGGTTGTCTGAAGAAGCCTTACAAATAGTGGAGGAAAGAAGAGAAGCAAAAAGCAAGGGAGAAAAGGAAAGATATGCCCAATTGTATGCAGAGTTCCAGAGGATAGCAAG